GAACGGGGAGAAAAGGTGAAAAAACGGGGGAAATCTGTGAAAAAATGGGGAAAATCGGTGAAAAAATGGGGAAGAAAGGGTTAAAAATGGCGGTTTGGGGGCTGAGGTTGAGGCTGGTCTGGGTGTGGATATGAAAGGGTTAAAAACGCAGTGAAAATGGGAAAAAATTGGAAAAATCGGTGAAAAAATGGGGAAAAATTGGTAAAGAAATGGGGAAGAAAGGGTTAAAAATCCTGGTTTGGGGCTGAGGTTGAGGTGGGTGTGGGTGTGGGCGTGAAGGGGTTAAAAATGAAAAAATAATGGGGAAAAATTGAGAAAAAGGGGAAAAAATCCATGAAAAAGTGGTGAAAATGGAAAAAAATTGGGGGAAAAGGTGAAAATGGGGAAAACTGGAGAAAAATGGTGGGGAAATGGTGGGAAATGGTGAAAAAATGGTGGAAAAATGAAATCGGTGAAAAAATGGGGAAAATCGGTGAAGAAATGGGAGAGAAATGGGGAAGAAAGGGTTAAAAATGGCGGTTTGGGGGCTGAGGTTGAGGCTGGTGTGGGTGTGGACATGAAGGGGTTAAAAATGAAAAAAAGGGGGAAAAAGGAAAAAAATAGGTGAAAAAATGGGAAAAATGGAAAAAATCAGGGAAAATGTGGAAAATTTTGAAAGTGGGAAAAACTGGAGAAAAATTGTGGGGAAATGGTGGAAAATCATGAAAAATGGTAGAAAATGGTGAAAAATGGGGAAAAAGAAAAAGAAACTGAGAAAAAAATGGAAAATTGGGAAAAATGGAAAAAAAACCAGGAAAAAATCTGGAGAAAAATGGATGAAAAAATGGGAGAAAAAAGGGAGAAAAATGGGAAAAAATGGGGAAAAAAAAGAGAAAAAATGGGGAAAAAAAAAGAGAAAAAAACGGAAAAAAAATCAGGAAAAAATGGAGGGAAAATCGGGGGGAAAAGAGGGCAGAAATGGGGTGAGAAAAGCGGATTTTGGGGCGTTTGGGGGTGTCCTGGGCGCCGCTGCTGAACCCCTACACCTGGGCCGTGGCCTCCACCCCGTTCAGCGTCCGCACCGACAAGGCCGAGCGCGAGTTGGGCTACCGGCCGCTCTTCTCCTGGGAGGAGGCCCGGGACAGGACGGCGCGCTGGGTCCGGCAGCTGGGCGGGGCCTGAAGGGGTTAAAAACGGGGGGGAACGGGGAGAAAAGGTGAAAAAACGGGGAAAATCGGTGAAAAAATGGGGAAAATCGGTGAAAAAATGGGGAAAATCGGTGAAGAAATGGGAGAGAAATGGGGAAGAAAGGGTTAAAAATGGTGGTTTGGGGTTGAGGTTGAGGCTGGTGTGGGTGTGGACATGAAGGGGTTAAAAATGAAAAAATAATGGGGAAAAATTGAGAAAAAGGGGAAAAAATCCATGAAAAAATGGTGAAAATGGAAAAAAATTGGGGGAAATGATGAAAATGGGGAAAACTGGAGAAAAATTGAGGAAGAAATGGTGGGAAAATGGTGAAAAATGGCAAAGAAATGGAGAAAAAAAATGGAAAATTGGGAAAAATGAAAAAAAACCCAGGAAAAAATGTGAAGAAAAATGGATGAAAAAATGGGAGAAAAAAGGGAGAAATAAGGGACGATTTTGGGGTCAATTTTTGGGAATTTTGGCGGAATTTTTTGGGGACAATTCAGGGAATTTTGGGTGAATTTGGGGCCATTTAAAAAAAATGGTGGGGGCCATTTTTGGGGAATTTTGGGGCGAATTTGGGGCGATTTCTGGGAATTTTGAGTGGATTTTTGGTTTAGAATTTTGGGGCCTTTTTTGGGAATTTTGGATCAATTTTTGGGGACATTTCAGGGAATTTTGGGTGAATTTGGGGCCTTTTTGTAAAATTTCTGGGTCCATTTTTGAGGAATTTTGGGTCGATTTTTGGGAGAATTTTGGGGGAATTTGGGGCCAGTTTTAAAAAATTTTTGGGGCAATTTTTGGAGGATTTTTGGGGAATTTGGGGCCATTTTTAAAAAGTTTTTTGGGCAATTTTTGGAGGATTTTTGGGGAATTTGGGGCCTTTTTTGGGAATTTTGTGTCAAGTTTTGGGGACAATTCAGAGAATTTTGGGTGAATTTGGGGCCTTTTTGTAAAATTTTTGGGTCCATTTTTGAGGAATTTTGGGTCGATTTTTGGGAGAATTTTGGGGGAATTTTGGGGGAATTTGGGGCCATTTAAAAAAATTTTTGGGGCAATTTTTGGAGGATTTTTGGGAATTTTGGGGCCTTTTTTGGGAATTTTGGATCAATTTTTGGGGACATTTCGGGGAGTTTTGGGTGAATTTGGGGACTTTTAAAAAAAATTTCGGGTCAATTTTTGGGGAATTTTTGGGGTAATTTTTTAAAAATTTGGGGCCATTTTTAGGGAATTTTGGGGTGATGTTTTGGAAATTTTGGGTCATTTTTGGGTGATTTTGGGGTCATTTTGGGACAATTTTTGAGGCAATTTTGGGGCAATTTGTGTCGTTTTTGGGCCGATTTGGGTCATTTTTGGGTGATTTTGGGGTCATTTTGGGACAATTTTTGAGGCAATTTTGGGGCAATTTTGGGGCCAATATTGAGATTTTTTTGTGGCAATTTGGGGATTTTTGGGGCACTTTTAGGGGAAATTTTGGTTCCAATTTTGGATAATTTTGGGGCCATTTTTGGGGAATTTTGGGGGGATTTGGGGTCCAATTTTGGGGACTTTTGGTGCCATTTTGGGTCCATTTTGGAGGAATTTTAGCTCCAGTTTTTAGGAACTTTTTGCCGATTTTTTCAGAATTTTTGGGTCAATTTTTTTGCGATTTCAGGACCATTTTTGGAGTTTTTTTGCCGTTTTTGGGGGGATTTTGGCTCAGTTTCTGAGGAATTTTTTTTCCTTTTTCCCCAAATTTTTCCCCATTTTTTCCCCAATTTTCCCCCAATTTTCCCCACTTTTCCCCCAATTTTTCCCCAAATTTTCCTCCATTTTCCCCCAAATTTCGAATTTGGGGGGGAATTTGGGGGTTTTTGGGGGGATTTTGGGGGATTTTGGGGGGATTTTGGGGGATTTTGGGTCCCCTCTAACGTGTCCCTTCCTCCCCACAGAGCTGCCGGCAGAGGAAGGTGAGTGACAGCCCCAAAAATGCCCCAAAATGCCCCAAAAATTCCAAAAAATGACCCCAAATACCTTTAAAAATGACCCAAATATCCCTTAAAAAGCCCCAAAAAATCTCCCCTAAAACGCTCAAAAAAAAAAAAAGCTCCAAATGTTCTCCAAAAATCCCCTGAAATGCTTTAAAAGTCCCAAAATTGCCCCAAAAATGTCCCAAAAACTCCCAAAAATCCTCAAAAATCCCCCAAATGGTTCAAAAAAATCTCTGAATTTCCCCAAAAATGCACAGAAAGTTGCAAAAAGCCCCAAAAAATCCCAAAAATTACTCCAAAAAAGCCTCAAAAATTCCCCCCCAAAAACCCCCAAAAAATTTCCAAAAAATTTCCAAAAATTACTCAAAAATGCCCCCCAAAAAAAGCCCAAAATCCCCAAAAAAGCCCCAAAAATTCCCAAGAATTCCTGAATTTTCCCAAAAATCCCCAACACCCCAAAAATTCCCGGATTTTCTCCTCAAAAATTCCCAAAATTTCTCTAAAATTCCCCAAAAATTCCCAAATTTTCCCAAAATTTCCCAAATTCCCCAAAAAAATTCCAAATAAAAACCTCAAAATTTCCCTAAAATGCCAAAAAAATCCCCCAAAATCCTCAAAAAACTCCTCAAAAATTCCCCTAAAATTTCCCAAAATTCCCGAATTTTCCCCAAATTCCCGAATTCCCCAAAAATTCCAAATAAAAACCCCAAAATTCCCCTAAAATGCCCAAAAAATCCCAACAAATCCTCAAAAAATCCCCAAAAATCCTCAAAAATCCCCCAAAATCCTCAAAAAACTCCCAAAAAATTCCCCAAATTCCCCTAAAATTCTCCAAATTTCCCGAATTTTCCCCAAATTCCCAGATTTCCCCCAAAAAATCCAAATAAAAACCCCAAAATTCCCCTAAAATGCCAAAAAAATCCCAAAAATCCTCAAAAATCCCCCAAAATCCTCAAAAAACTCCCAAAAAATTCCCAAAATTCCCCTAAAATGCCAAAAAAATCCCAACAAATCCTCAAAAAATCCCCAAAAATCCTCAAAAATTCCCCTAAAATTCCCCAAAATTCCCGAATTTTCCCAAAAAATTCCAAATAAAAACCCCAAAATTCCCCTAAAATGCAAAAAAAATTCCCAAAAAATCCTCAAAAATCCCCCCAAAATCCTCAAAAAACTCCTCAAAAATTCCCAAAAAATCCTAAAAATCCCCAATTTCCCAAATTTTCCCAAAATTCCCAGATTTCCCCCCAAAATTCCCGAATTTTCCCAAAAAATTCCAAATAAAAACCCCAAAATTCCCCTAAAATGCCAAAAAAATCCCAAAAAATCCTCAAAAAACTCCTCAAAAATTCCCAAAAAATCCTAAAAATCCCCAATTTCCCAAATTTTCCCAAAATTCCCAGATTTTCCCCCAAAATTCCCAGATTTCCCCCAAAAATTCCAAATAAAAACCCAAAAATTCCCTAAAATGCCAAAAAAATCCCCAAAAATCCTCCAAAAACTCCTCAAAAATTCCCAAAATTCCCCTAAAATTCCCCAAATTCCCCTAACATTCCCCAAAATTCCCGAATTTTCCCCAAATTCCCGAATTCCCCCCAAAAATTCCAAATAAAAACCCCAAAATTCCCCTAAAATTCCCCAAATTTCCCAAGTTTTCCCCCAAAATTCCCAAATTTTCCCCAAAAATTCACGAATTTTTCCCCAAAATTCCCGGATTTTCCCCAAAAATTCCAAATAAAAACCCCAAAATTCCCCTAAAATTCCCCAAATTTCCCAAGTTTTCCCCCAAAATTCCCAAATTTTCCCCAAAAATTCACGAATTTTTCCCCAAAATTCCCGGATTTTCCCCAAAAATTCCAAATAAAAACCCCAAAATTCCCCTAAAATTCCCCAAATTTCCCAAGTTTTCCCCCAAAATTCCCAAATTTTCCCCAAAAATTCCCGAATTTCCCCCCAAAATTTCTGAATTTCCCCCAAAAATTCCAAATAAAAACCCCCAAATTCCCCTAAAATACCAAAAAAATCCCAAAAAATCTCAAAAAACTCCCAAAAAATTCCCCAAAAAATCCTAAAAATCCCAAATTTACGAATTTTTCCCCAAAATTCCCGGATTTCCCCCAAAAATTCCAAATAAAAACCCCCAAATTCCCCTAAAATACCAAAAAAATCCCAAAAAATCCTCAAAAAACTCCCAAAAAATTCCCCAAAAAATCCTAAAAATCCCAAAATTCCCGAATTTCCCCAAATCCCCGGATTTCTCCCCAAAATTGCAGGCAAGTCCATCTGGGAGCTGGTGGTGGAGCAGTTCGAGGATCTCCTGGTGCGGATCCTGCTCCTGGCCGCCTGCATCTCCTTCGTGAGTCCCAAAATTGATAAAAATGGACAAAAACGTCCGGAAATGTCAGTAAAATGTTGGTCGGGGGGATTTGGGGGTTTTTGGGAAAAATTTGGGGAATTTCGGGGAAAAAATGGGATTTTTGGGGGAAGAATTTGAATTTTTTGTGATTTTTTTGCTGATTTTTTGAGACTATTTTTGATTTTTCTCGGATTTTTGGGAGATTTTTCCTCAGATTTTTCACTGAATTTTTTGTGATTTTTTCGGGATTTTTTTGAGATTTTTTTTTTTAATTTTTGGTGGGATTTTTATGGAGAATTTTTAAATTTTTTCTGGAATTTTTGGGGGAAGTTTTCTGGGCTTTTTATTGAAATTTTTTGTGATTTTTTTTTTCGGGATTTTTTTGAGAATTTTGGGGATTTGGGGGGATTTTTCTGGAATTTTTTGGGATTTTTTTTAGAATTTTTTAATTTTTCTGGGATTTTTGGGGGCAATTTTATTGAAATTTTTTGTGATTTTTTTATTTTTCTGGGATTTTTATTGAAATTTTTTTGTGATATTTTTGGGGATTTTTTGAGAATTTTTGGGATTTTTCTGGGATTTTATTTGGCTTTTTCTGGGATTTTTTTTGGAATTTTTAAAAATTTTTCTGGGATTTTGGGGGGATTTTTTCTGGGATTTTTATTGAATTTTTTGTCGACTTTTGTCGTTTTGTTATCGATTTTTGGTGATTTTTGGGGTGATTTTTTCAGGATTTTTTTGTTGATTTTTCGTGATTTCTTTGTCGATTTTTGGGGTTTTTTTCAATTTTTGGCCATTTTTGGTCATTTTTTTGTGATTTTTTGAACGATTTTTGTGATTTTTTTGGTGATTTTTTTCATGATTTTTGGGCGATTTTTTCACGATTTTTGGTGATTTTTTCATGATTTCTCACAAATTTTACACAATTTTTCACTATTTTTTGCCCTTTTTTTTGCTATTTTTTGTTGATTTTTTCCCGATTTTTGGGTGATTTTTTCACGATTTTTCCCCTATTATTTTGTCAATTTTTGGCGATTTTTTTGTTGATTTTTGTTGATTTTTTCACCATTTTTTCACCATTTTTTGGCCATTTTTTAGCGATTTTTCGCTATTTTTTCGCGATTTTTTTCCCGATTTTTGGGCGATTTTTCCGCGATTTTGGGTGGGATTTCCGCGGGACTTTTTGCCATTTTTGGGGCTAAACTTTGGGATTTTGATGTTTTACTCCCGACCCCGCTGTCCCCCAGGTGCTGGCCTGGTTCGAGGAGGGCGAGGAAACCATCACGGCCTTCGTCGAGCCCTTCGTCATCCTCCTCATCCTCATCGCCAACGCCGTCGTCGGCGTCTGGCAGGTGGCCGCGAATTTGGGGACAGTTTGGGGGATTTGGGGACATTTTGGGGACAGTTTTGGGATTTGGGGACATTTGGGGACTTTGGAGATTTGGGGACATTTGGGGGCATTCGGAATTTGGGGACATTTGGGGGATTTTGGGACATTTTGGGGACATTTGGGGACATTTGGGGATATTTTGGGACATTTTGGGATTTGGGGACATTTGGGGACTTTGGAGATTTGGGGACATTTGGGGGCATTCGGAATTTGGGGACATTTGGGGGATTTTGGGACATTTTGGGGACATTTGGGGACATTTGGGGATATTTTGGGACATTTTGGGATTTGGGGACATTTGGGGACTTTGGAGATTTGGGGACATTTGGGGGCATTCGGAATTTGGGGACATTTGGGGGATTTTGGGACATTTTGGGGACATTTGGGGACATTTGGGGATATTTTGGGACATTTTGGGATTTGGGGACATTTGGGGACTTTGGAGATTTGGGGACATTTGGGGGCATTCGGAATTTGGGGACATTTGGGGGATTTTGGGACATTTTGGGGACATTTGGGGACATTTGGGGATATTTTGGGACATTTTGGGATTTGGGGACATTTGGGGACTTTGGAGATTTGGGGACATTTGGGGGCATTCGGAATTTGGGGACATTTGGGGGATTTTGGGACATTTTGGGGACATTTGGGGACATTTGGGGATATTTTGGGACATTTTGGGATTTGGGGACATTTGGGGACTTTGGAGATTTGGGGACATTTGGGGGCATTCGGAATTTGGGGACATTTGGGGGATTTTGGGACATTTTGGGGACATTTGGGACATTTGGGACTTCGGAGATTTGGGGACATTTGGGGGCATTCGGAATTTGGGGACATTTGGGGGATTTTGGGACATTTTGGGGACATTTTGGGGACTTTGGGGACATTTGGGGACTTTGGAGATTTGGGGACATTTGGGGGCATTCGGAATTTGGGGACATTTGGGGGATTTTGGGACATTTTGGGGACATTTGGGGACATTTGGGGATATTTTGGGACATTTTGGGATTTGGGGACATTTGGGGACTTTGGAGATTTGGGGACATTTGGGGGCATTCGGAATTTGGGGACATTTGGGGGATTTTGGGACATTTTGGGATTTGGGGACATTTGGGGACATTTTGGGATTTGGGGGCATTTGGGGACTTTGGAGATTTGGGGACATTTGGGGACATTTTGGGACTTGGGGACATTTGGGGACTTTTGGGACATTTGGGGACTTTTGGAGACCTTTGGGACTTTGGGGACTTTGGGGACATTTGGGGGATTTTGGAGATTTTGGGATTTTGGGGGTTTTGGGGGATTTTGGGACATTTGGGGGATTTTGGGGACATTCGGGGACTTTGGTGATTTGGGGACATTTGGGGCATTTTGGGGACATTTTGGGATTTAGAGGGTTGGGGACGTTTGGGGGATTTGGGAGATTTAGGGACATTTGGGGGATTTTGGTGGTTTGGGGATTTTGGGGCGTTTTGGGGACATTTTGGGGCGGTTTGGCGTCCCTTGAGCTCTCTGTGTTGTCCCCAACATCTGTGTGGTGTCCCCAAGGTGTCCCCAATGAGCCAAACGTGTCCCCAGTGACCCCACTGAC